ACACTAGTCGACAAACAAATTCAACGTACATCGATTGTTGCAAAAGCTCCATCATCAAATTAGAAGGCAGAGACATTTTGCTGAAGCCTTGCTGAAGATATCCTAAGAACAGCTTATCATACTTCAGAGAAAGAAATAATCGATCTACAACAGCTAATTGTAACGGACGAGAAAGTTCGCCGAGCTGAGTGGTCAGAAAGAGAAGTCCCACTGGCAGTGATCCAATGTGTTTATCAATGAGTATTGTAAAAAAGGCATTCGAGTCTACTGCTGTCCATTTCCACTGGAGCCATTGAATGACTAGGGTGAACGGTTCGTAATAGTTAGGCTTCATCATATGAGTGACAAAGTTATCTGCCATGGACAAAGGTGAAATGTGCATTGTCTTATCAATTCTAGATTGTACGAGAGTTAGCGCGACAAAGTATTCCTGAAATGTGCGATGAACAAAACCGTATGCGTCTAATCCGCGGGATGCTACAAAACCCATATTCGAATTTAACAAGCTTATAAACTCATCGACTTGCACTTTCAACAAAGCCTTAGCATTAAAGATATTTTCGCGCTTATGGAAAGAACGAAGTGCTAATGTACTCAACCGAGTCAAATCAAATTTGTCGATCACGCCCGAAGGACAATTATTGTGCAGCTCAACAGCAAGATCACATAGAATCCATCGAAGAGTTTTATAATCTAAGTGAGATGCGTGCGATGATGATAATGTGTTTAGCACGCCTTCCACTGTCATTTCATAGAGACCAATGCGGTGCATCGCTTGTATGCGATGTGTTTCATTGTAACAGATGGGAAACGCCAAGGCAAACAGCATCGGATGAGACCACACCTTCTCTCCCATGCAATCAAACATCTCCTTTACTTTTTTTTCCTTTTCTACTGTAACCACTTCTAGTTTTTCTTTATCGAATGAACTGTCAATCTGATTGATTGAGTTGATCCATTGAAGAAGATTTTGATGAATAAAAGTCAACCAGTGATCAAGAAAAAATTGAAATTCTGTTTGATCCATCGGCTGGAGAATCCAGTGAGAAAATTGCTGACCTCTTAATGGAAATAGATGATAGCCAACAATACGGGATGTTACAATAACCTGATTTCCATCGTGATATTGAGGCTCTTTACTAGAGAACCCTCCGTCATGTAAAGTCGCCTCATGATCATCGACACAAATAAAGCTCGATGATCGAATATTTTCATTTACAAATTTTTGAATAGAATCTACAACTTTTTTTCTCTGGCGATTATCAGACAACTCGTCGAGACCATCGAAAAGGACGAATGCATTTCCGTGATGAATAAATTCTCTCACGATTTGAGCATTTTCACTAGTCATGTAAGCATGTCCGAACCATGTATGCCGACCAATATAGTCGAGCACTGTCGACAAGGGATTTAACTCTAACCATGTGGATAATTCTTCTACTCGTATTAAAATAGGTAGCCGCATTATGAGAGCTCTTATGCGCAATTGATTATTTGTTTCCTCGTTTTTCTCATTCGTAGACGATTCTTCTTCTCGTTTATATAAAAGCTCTGCATGCAGCCTTGTCAATGAACGTAGACACGTAGTCTTTCCGCTGCCTGGATCTCCAAGAACTACTGACCAACGATGGTTATAAGGAATGGAACCTATACGCGTTTTCGAAGCCAATTGCTTCAAGAAAGGATCGGTAGTAGATGGTATGAAAGGTTCCTGCTCTGTTTCTGCTCTTGAGTGTGAAACAATAGAGTCTGCACGAAGTACACATCTTCGAACTCTTCTAGAAATCGACGCTTGAAGGGATATCTCTATCTCGAGCGAGTTATTTTTGGTAGATGCACTGCTATTGGTTAATTTTTCTGAAACCTCTGCATTACCCAGTGCGCTTTTCAGAAACTGAAACAAATTCTCATCTGAAAGACCTCGTACAAGCTCACTTGAATGAAGAGAAATACACTTTTGAACATAGTCTGTGACAAAAACACGATGTTTTTCGCACAACTCACGCAAACTTTTCCGTACACCATGGATTGATTCGTGTTCTGCCATCCTTCGCTTCAAACCATCACGCATGTAATTCACAGCTAACTGTCTCTGTCTCATATTATGGAAGGGTAGCGCAGATTGATCGATCAAAATACAGCCACCATCATCTGTGTCTAAATGTGTGAAGTATGGACGAAGTAGATCATTTCCGATATTTAATGCATTCGAATCAACAAGATTCATCGAACTATTCATAAGCCAGGTCAATCGCTCTAAGAAGAATTCAGCCGACTCATTGCGAGTGACACATGATGGTTGATAGTTGAGTATTTTTTCGAGTCGTTCCAGTTCTCTTTTCATGTTTTGATGAAAATCATCAGAAGAAGTATCCATACCTTGTTGTACAAAGAAGCTTTTGTAATGCGAAAGGTTTTGGCGAATGGTGTCCATTTGAGTAATTGTTTCGTAAAATAAAAATGTAGGATCTGTGAGGAAAATGTTCGAGAGCTGTTCTTCGTGCAGAAACACTAAACTAACCAAATTTAGATTTTTCCAATTCGATTTTACGTCGTGGGTAAATTTTTTATAGTATATAAAAGTAATTTTTCGTCGATGCAAACAACCGAGCACACGAATTACTTACGATAGTAAGATCGTTTTGTTGTGTTATTGAAGCACCTTTAATGGCGTCTCTACTAATGAAGAAAAGAAATGCAAGGCTACCGAAAGCATTTTCACAAAGAGAATGCGGCGGGTGTTAAATAATATACATTCGCATCCACACCCACGCGCATACCCTTGTAAGATTTCGAATTCGAGTCTAAGATCCCTTCAAAATGATTGTCAACAATCTAGGAAACGTTTTTAAAGTTTCATAGTGTCTAGATACAATCATTAGTTTTGTATGGAACCTTTATCTTTTTCAGAGTAGAAAACATAGCTGTTTTTTTCGCACTTCTAGGTTCCCTCTAATACATTGCTACGTTGTAAAATGCTTTTGCCTATGATTGTTCTGCGTTACCACGTACCGAGGCAGATAAGACTCAAAAAAGTCAACCCAATAAGGTTTTGCTATTACACTGTTTTAACCGTATATTACCGTAAAAATTATGTTGGTACGAATTCGTTACAGCGTTTAAACGTGTTAAGAGACTATGAACTTATTATAATGAACAGTATTCTTTTAGATGTAGAGTGTGGGTATAGATGTCGATCTAGTATTCTGTTGTCTTACACCCATATCCACATCCTTCTGCAACTCTAATCAAGCGGATTTCAGATACATGGCAAAATGTAGGTGAGACTTACCGTGAGAAATTAAAAAAAGATAATTTTGTTAAAAATCTGATTTGTTCTTTTATCGTGAAAGCTTTCCGAAAAGTATCTGAAAATGAAGAAAACTCTGAAGAAAAGAAATTTAGCTTTTTCGTAAAAAAATTAAAAACATAACATACACGTCCATTACATTACACTGCAATTTTTTATTCAACTGAATATCATTTAGAGCTCCCTAGCATGTCAAATGACCGATAGAGATTTTAAATAAAAAGAGTAAAAACATGAAAAAACCGCTTCAATAGGACATCAAAATGTGAATATAGAGCTTCTTCTCGTTGTTTCAAACTTAACCGTACACTTACATCTCAAATTGTAATAGGAACTTTGAAAGCAATACTGGAAAGAGAGGACGAAACACTTTGTTTAAAAATGAGAAAGAAGAAAAGTTGTTCTTTCAGCACACTATCCTCGGTATTCATAGCAAATATGTAACTTCGAATCAACAGAAAACAAATAATGAAGCGTGATTCCATGAGAAACATATTAAATCTCTACAGTGTGACTATTGGGTCCAAGTAAGTTTTCCTTGAAAACCTTCTAGCTAAATGGTCATAAGGAATAACTAGCAGATCCTAAACTTTGAGCTCTCAAGAGTACCTGTTTCATAGACTTTATTGGTTATTTGTGAAATATGGGAACAACTATGAACATCGCCTCTGGAAAGAGAATTCAAATCTGTTCTCGTCAATCGACAGTGCTCATCGAGTTACGTCAAACGTCTGGAGGAGATTATATTTATTAAAAAATTATACTGTTTTGTGTAAAACTTCAAACACAATCTTTTGATAAATAGAAATTTCAAAAAAATTGAGAGGGCAATGATTTATGGACGACTCGTCAAAGTTTACATTATGAGATGCTTTTCTTTTCATAACCTGCAATTTTCTATGGGTTTCTCAGAAAGTGTTCTTATTTATACTATAAGTGAACGACTAAATTGGAAAAAACCAAGTATATGATTTTCTTATTTCTGTTCCTCTGAATAAAAATGAAAGCAATCGTTGCATCCCAGTATTTTGTCTTTCTTTTCTCTGGGAAATTTTTATATTATTATTAAAGAAAGAAAGTAAAAGAACATAGACCAACAGTTTTTCATCGTTTTATTTTCTTTTCTTCTCCGTCGAGGTAGTAAGAAGAAAAAGAAAAAGAAAAATGTTTTCCACTTTCTCTCGTTAGTTACTCTTTTCTTCCGATCTTCTCAACGTAGAAATCTGGTAGAATGAAAAACCGTTGCCATCATTCACAGTTAAGGATTTTTTTTCTCTAGAGAAAATTATTTAATGAATAATCTCACTATTTCTACATGCGCTCATAAGATGTAAAAGTAACTAACAACATCAACCTAAGCCCGGTTTACTGTCATCAAGAGGCACATCTTTGGAATCAATAGGGTGTGAGTGTGGGTGGGTGAGTGTGGGGTGTGTGGTGAGTGTGGGTGTGTGGGTGTGTGGGTGTAGGGTGGGTGTGGATGTGGGAATGGGCATGGATGTAAAGTGCATGAGTTCCCACACCCACACCCCAAAACTAATCAATGAGGAGCCAGGAAGATCATGTCTAAAAGTCTGTAAAAAAAATGTGATCATTTTATATGTGAGAAGTCAGTTGTTGCAGTTGATGAAAGTTCTATTGAAATATATCTGACAGCATGAAATTCTCCAGAATTATTTAAATGTTCATTTTATAAACGAAAATAATTCGAAATAAATCGTCCAAATATTTCAAAAAGATCAAATGCAAAACCAATAATATCATCATATTTAGCATTTGATCTGCCAAAATAAAGAAAAATATTAATTATCCAAGCATATTGAAATATAATATTTTCAATAATAACAATATCAGAACAAATAATTTGTTCAAGTAAATATTTATTTTCTCCGAAATTTTGATGAAAAAAATGTCCCATCCATTTTAAAATCCGAAATAGTTTTATATGTTAAAGGTATTGATGTTGGGATTGCCCATAAACAAAGATACGAACTCGATTTTTTATTGTTTGTATAGTTAAGATGAGTTGCTCGTCCAATTCAATTTGTTATTGAAACAAAAACACCAATTGCATATTTATCAACATTTCCAAGATGAGCAAATTTATCTTTTGGATCATAATATCGTCGAAGACATTGACTAAAACGAAACCAAGATGGAAAAATTATTAAAATTGTTTGAATAAAAATTCCTGAGCAATCACTACATAATGCACATCGTTTTATAATTGATTAACTTAAACTTCAATCATATATCAAAACAAATCAAATATTCCAAATAAATTCTAGCCATATAAATTGATCGCCCAATCAAAATCTAGCAAAATCGACATGATCAAATGAGGATTAAAACATTTCGCTTGATGTTTTCTTAATAAACAAAATCGAGCTTTACCATAAAATGTTCGAGTTAGATTTATCAATAATAGAATTCAAAATATGCCAATAACTAATCATTGTATTAATGATTGAATTTCGTTATAACATCAAAGAATAAATCTAATAAAAGTCTAGAAACCATTATGATATTAAACATGTGCCAATTTCAAGAAGCTTTTCATAAGTTAAATGATTCCATGAATCAAATTCAAATATAAGAACATGATTAACACCTGAATGTGACCAACTATAGATTTTATTATTCAAATGAGAAAAATAAACAAAGAATATACGGATAGTTTTACTTCTCTTGATATCGAGTTCTATCCGGTAACGATTGCTAGTTGCTCTCGATTTTTCTGCATTTATTTTCAAATCTGATCATCACAGTGTTTTTATTTTTCTTCGCACATAGAACACTTCCGTTCGATATTTTAGTCTATTTCTGTGATAAAAATCTACGTCAGATTATTCTATTAAATGAAATTCATCATAGAATATTTAGGATATATTATTAACTCTCTTCAATACGAACTTATGCTATCAAAACAAAGTCAAAATGTAATTTAACATTAGAATCTACAATTGATGGATTTATAAAAACGAAGGATGCGTCTAATTAGAGGTTAATTTGACTGTTATAGAATCAGTGAAGTGAACAACGATTAATGCCGGGTTGATTTGACCATTTAGATCAGTAGCGATACCAGCAAGGAAAAGACTTGACTAATTTCAATATGATTTCACAATAGACTGAAGATGAAAATCTACGTGTGTATATAGGGTGTGTTCGCACTTCTCTTTGAACATCCGAATCTTCACCCACACCCACACTACACACTGATACCCCCACATCCTACACTCACAATCATCCACATCAACACCCCACACCCATCCAGGGTTATTTCCTCCTGCCACTGCTATGCCAGTAGTGTTCCATTTAGCATTTTCACAAATTCCATCGTCAGGTATTGGAGATATACCTATACAACAAAAAAGAAAAATAATCTTATTATTAATTAATTATATATAAATACTTGTTGAAAGTATTAATGGACACATTAAACGAGTTGCCATTTTCATTGGATAACATAATGGACTGTTTTGACATCGAGAATGTTTTACACAAGTATATCCTGGTTGATAACATGTTTTGTTATCTTGAGCATATGATAATAACTCAGAACAAGTAACATATAAATATGCACAAATAGAACTTTTATTATTATAACTGAGAGGAAAACAACCACATCCAGTATTTAATGAACATTTTTCATACGGTAAACTATCATTACATATTTTTTCACCATCGATTCGATCTAATATTTAACGATAAAATATTATGAATCAGAAATAAAGTGAAAAAATTCAATTACCTAATAAACTAAAACTAATTAGAAAGAAAAGAATTAGTTTAATAAATAATAAAAAAATTGTCATACCTAACAATGAAAATTAGAAAAACGTCAATTGTCGACATCATTTTCATTTCTTACTATTTTTATTCTGTTTCAATCATATTTATAATGAGAACAAAAGCATCTGTTAAATCATCATGACAATGTAGAAAACTATATAGGACTCTTATTTTGTTTTCTGGATAATTCACCTTATCAGATTTAATATTCGAAAGCACTTGAAGAATTATTTTTCTATCAAATTTCTCTCTTTTGTTTTTGATCGTACCAATTTTCTTTGCATTGCTCTGTCCAGAAAACACTGACGAATTGTGGCTTAGGATATCATGCTTGTTGTTGTGCATTTTTGCTAACTCTCATGTTTTCATTCTCATGGTCGACCGTTTCTGCAGTCATTTGCGGCCTGTTTTACTTTCCTCTTATTTCATTCTCTCTTATTTTTATCCCTTCCATTCGGTCTCTAAGTCATCATTGTCGTTTGACTGCCGAAGAATCTTTACCAGTTATTACCTTTTTTATTTGTTATGGTGAACGCCATTGCAGGTGTATCAAATATAACATGTTTTGGAATGCATTTTGATAATCAAGGTTCATTATACTATTCTGAAGGCGTTAGTGTGGGTGTGAAGTGGATCTAAATGTTAATGCACAATTTAGACACATACTCACACCCACAACCTTCATTGTAACCGGTAATCTCTGAAAAATTACTCGAAGATCTTTTTTATAGCAGCTTATGGATGAGTATGGGTTGTGTGGCTGTCGCTATGGGTGTACGTTTGCGTATGGATGAAGAGAAGACCTATAATAACATT